CACGAAAAAAGTGTCTACGGTGGGACCCATGACATCTTGAGGCACTCCGGCTGCCCGCCTTCTTTTCGATGGGGCTTTCAAAATCGTTCACATCCTTTGCCAATTGCGTGATTGACATATTATATGGCACCCCATTTGAAAACAGGCACGGCGGGGGTACACACTCACATACTGCCTTGGCGTTTCTCTCAGCAGCACGCAGCACACAAAATGCGTGGGGCTTGTGGGACATAGTCTAGAAAGCAAGCCGTCCGCCCTGTTCAAGTCTGTAGCCATGATCTGTAGACCAACTACAACCCACAACACCAAGGGCCGGTGCATTGGAGCAGTGTCACAATGCAAACCTGCGACTCTACTCCTACCTGCTGTACTGTGTTGCTGGCTGTGGTCGTGTGGCAAAGATGCATTGTTTATATCAAAACCTGATGGGGATCCTTGTGGGGATACAAAGAAAATAGCATCAGGCGGATATTTCCACTGCCCACATAATAAGCGTGGAATATCGATAAAGTTGTCCATAAAGTAACTGCTGTGGCAAGCCATGGGAGTCCTCAGATAATTTCATGGCAAATTCCTAGGCAAATCCCTCGGCAAATTCCACGGAACTAGCCGTGCAACTTCACCGCCGCCACGGAGCTCCACGGCACACCATGGGCTGCCGTGGAATGCCGCGATGGATTTCCACAGCTAGCTTTCGATGGAACTCCATGGACCTTATGGCATACTGTTATTTCCACCGTTGAATTCCATGGACGGACCTACATGGCATTCCGTGGATTCTGCGTAGTGCCGAGGATCTCCACGGACCTCCATGGCATTCCACGGAGTACTCCATGGAATTCTATGGCATCGACAAACCAAATGTAGGGCACCGTCAAAATCTAGAGTGCAAGCCAGATTTGGTTTCATCGTTTCTACCTTCCCACCGGTATCAGCAACTGCCAACAACGCCCCTCCACAGTAGGCCGGAGGTTCCAGATTGAGGGAGCACGAAATCAACCACAACCTCAAGGCTGAAGCTAACCCTGGCGATTTAGAGGCTGATCAAGCATCCGGGCAGATCGGTAACACGGAACAATTGTATCAGGCCTAAACGTCCTCGCCACCTCCCTCAGCAACACTGTATGGGTGGGTGTAAACAATGTGGTATCTACCACGACATCATGTGTCCAGCAAGGTGTAGTTTGTCCATCAATCAATCTGGGTGACGGTGAATAATGGCACAACCTTTTCAGCACGCTAATCTGGTAAACTAACTCAGCTGACACCGTCGTCGAAAATTTCAGGAGATAAGATCTTCCAATTGGACCTGCCGAACTGTTGAACTAACTTCATGTGGCTCCAGGGACCACGGTGGCACACACTGCACTACTGTGCCAGCAAGATATTTCAGGTGGAGGCTCACTTTTCACTCGCTGAGAAAAACTACGCACATTCTCGTCGTTCCCCGGCGTTTCCCTATCCGGTAATCACATAATTCCTTCGTCATACAGCACCCCGTGGGATTTCAGTGCTTCCTGTTGTTTACGTGAAGGATATATCCATTACATCTGAAAGAGAATTGCCCTCGTTATAGAACACCGGCCTCTCTACATTGCTACATCATTCATAGTATGGTACAAGACTGCCTCGCTGAAGCATCGTCGGTACAGTGCTATTGCTTGCTTCCTTCTATGAAGCTCATGCTTCACCATTGGCGTTCTTCTGCAGAAGGTGGCAGCCGTTAGAGACGCAAGGAGGGAGGGGAGGGCGAGCGACGGAGAGTCGAAGGGAGCGAATAATCGAGCCTCGGGCGTTGCTTAGTTTTTCTGCTTTCGCCTTGTTTTTTGGCAAAGTCCATGTGTAGTACAGGATTGTAGGCGTGCTTTGAGCTGCTTCGTCGTAAACCGTACGTAGTGGATCGCACGCACCTTGGGATAGTTCACGAGTTGGAGCAGGACAAACGCTTGCCTCCACGTGAGCTTTCGTGAGGGTGCAACTTTCGGTTGGAAAAATTGAAAGAAGCCGGTTTATTGTGGGTGAAGGGTACTGCAAGCCAACGTACGATCCAGACAACACTACTACTGGAGTACTGGCTGCCAGTATTGAGGTAACCTGTCAGCACTCTACCTGTGAGCGACATGCCAAACGATGGGACTTCACCACGTTAGTTTTTGAAACACCTTTGCACACAAGGGTGAGTTATTTTATTTTTTGGGTTATTTTATTCGATAGAGTTACACCAATAGACGAGTCAGCTGACTCGTCTCAGCTGACTCGTCTAATGGTGTAACTTCATCGAATAAAATATATGCTCAGAGCTCATTTGCACCCGGCTGGATCACACTTTTGGGGTTTATGGCTTGAATCTCCGGGGACGGACCCCTCGCCAGGCGCTGACTGAAAAGAACATAATGGTGCTTGGGAAAGTGAGTAGACGGGAATCGCAAATGTAGTCAGCTCTGGCTAGACAAATGGTTTAACAATTGGCGACAAAAAAAGCTTCACGCACGGTTTTTATTCCCGGCTACTCACTTTCTTCCCAAGCACCATTCATTATGTTCTTTTCAGTCAGCGCCTGGCGAGGGGTCCGTCCCCGGAGATTCAAGCCATAAACCCCAAAAGTGTGATCCAGCCGGGTGCAAATGAGCTCTGAGCATATTTTTTATTCGATAAAGTTACACCATTAGACTAGTCAGCGCTGACTTTCCATAAAGTTACACCATTAGACTTAGTCTACGCTGACTAGTCTAATGGTGAACCTTTACACCATTAGACTTAGTCTACGCTGACTAGTCTAATGGTGTAACTTTATCGAATATATTTCACTTTATCTCATCAGACACAGGACGTTTTGGTGGGAACAGTGTTAGGTGTTTGGGGTCTCGCTACATACTTTGGGCAAGGTTATCGACCTCTGGACTCATGAACATTACAGGAGAAAAAAGGTGGACCCTCGAGGATGGGAAAAAAGGAATCGCCCGACTGTAAATCCGGGTTCCTGGAGTTCCTGTCCGGAGTGAGGACTCCATGATAACCTGGGAAGCCATCCCTACCCGGTCATGTAGACTCTGTTGTTTGAACTTTCCTGTACTGCCGGAAACAATTTCGTCCACAGAGAGCGCGCGTCTATTTCTGTAGTCGGCAGAACATTGCGGTGTTGGGTCCGAAGTTATAACTCCCACAAGATGACACCGACCCGGTCCTCCACTATCAACGGCAACCAGACACTGCATGTAGGTAAATGATCTGGAGAAATCATTTCCAAGCCACGGCATTGGGAAGATAAGAATGTGAGGCAATTTAAATGTGAGTTCATACCGCAGCAGAGAGGGCTTGATCCAAACTGCATACGGACCAACGATGGGCCGAGAGATGCCAGCTACAGCTTGTTACGCACCTTAAACACCGGCGGGTTTCCCTCTGGATTTCTGAGCAAATTGAGTGACGGCACCACCGCCAGCCCCTTCGCATTCATTCGGTTGGTCTTCTGCTGGTCGTCGACCTTGCTGAAAAAACTCGCTATTAATAGATAGTCCAGTGTTGCGCTGTCATGTTTAACAGTATCGACCCGACGCTAGAATCTTACACAAGGGTTGAGGTGTGTGGGTTCGGCCGTCACGTGGGCCATCAAACCCACGGCATGAAGTGTTCAAGAAATGATTCTCACTGTGAACGCTGTCAGCTTCGCCTGAAACCCTGGATCCAGCAATCAAATGTGTGCTGTGGTGTGTCCTTCTGGACCACCGCAAGAAGCTCACGGGTCACATCGAGTGTGAACATGCTGTGGGGCGCGAACGAACAGCGTTTGCTCGCTGGAAGAACGCTTCGGGCTGCATACATGTGGTTAGTGTAGGTTTCAACGAAACCGTGTGAATAGCGATTCCAGCTGTAGACCTACTTCACGTTCCACCCTGGGTCACAAGGGCGGGGAATCAAAAGTACACTCTTTGAGCGTCAGTTCATCGACTTCCATTACACTCCTGTGGAAGCTCACTGAACTGTTATCGCTTCCACTAAGCTTTTCATAATTGGGTCAAAATCTGGCAGCGCTTCCGCCAGAATCCTCATGAACATTGACCCCTGGGGAAGATATGGAAGCTTTCACCAATTCCACGGACATTCGTGGAGGAATTTCCACGAGGTTGAGAATGAAACATCTTGGAAGTACTACTTTCTCGTCAGCTCCGTAGAAGTGATGGAATCTTGCCTAGGTTCGACGAGCTTCCACCGAGGGGGGGGGGTTCAAAGTGTTCGTGGAAGCTTCCAGACTTCCATGAAAGAAAACGGGAGGCAAGAACCTACTGCCGCGGCTATTAACACCCCATCTCTACATCCCTGCAATTCACTTGTTGGGCAAAGGAAGTGCCAACATCACCCTCATAGACTCCTCTGCCGAGCCTCCTTTCCCTCGTCCACCAAGTCGGCTGCCACCGCCCTGTCGTAGCTCCCCGGAGGCACCAGCGGTTCTCTCATACAACGAAGTCACAACTGTATTGGCGCAGCAACTGCAATTTGGGAGACGAGACCGCCTGAAGCGTACAGACACTCTGCTGCTTCTTGTCATGGTGTCTTTGGTACGCCATAACATCAGAATGAACGGCAGCTTCTGCATGAATTCCCATAACGACATAAGACAGCTGGATGTAGAAAACGCATCCGGCTAGCTTCTTTCCTAGGCAATATTTATTACGTACCATGTCATGAGGCCTCATGAGGCTTCACGAGGTGTCTTGAGGCTTCATGAGGTGTCATGGAATCTCTCGCGAGATGGGTCATGGTACCTCTTGAGACGGCTCGTGGAACGCCTCACGAGGTGTAGTGCAGCGGCCATTCAAATGGAGCACCCTCCTTCTTCCCCCCACCCTCCTGCCTCCAACCGCGTACCCCCTGACGCCGCTTGGTATGTATCCCTCCTCCACAAACAGAAGGAGAACTTCCAGCTTCTGGCTCATCCTTGTGAAACGTAGCCTGGGACGACGAAAACCCGGCATATCGCTCCGTCCCGGCACGCGAGGCAAATGGCCAATCGACTCGTTTACCTGAGTATCCACCCCCCACCCCCACCCCAACATGCCCAAAACGCGTCCTATGGGACGATCTCCGAGAACCTGTCGGCGAACAAGGGGAAGGAGGGGGAGTGTGGAGGACATGCTCGACCTGCAGGCTCTGCCGTCCTCCAAGATGCGGGACCTCAGAATCTCGCGGGGATGGGCGGGGCGGGAGGAGAAAACAGGTTCGCGTTCCGTTCCCCCGTTCGTTGTTGTCGTCTCATCCATTGCTATATGTCGCGGTTTTGAGGAGGCCCTGTGATGGGGTGCGTCACCGTTGGGTTGTCTGTGGTCGGGCTAGTACAACAGCCGTAGCCCCTCCCTGGACGGAAGATAAAGAGGTCTCGTTTGACCTGACTGCGTGAGTTTTTGTTACATCGGCCTCGCTATGTGCATAGCCGTTTGTCCAACGATGAAAAAGAATTCAGTGTTAACACACAGCAGTATTTTTTATCCTGGGATATTTGCTTGGAGTGTGTCATGGTTTGCGTGGTGGTGGGGGGGTGGGGGGCAGCCGGTATTTGAGTATATCGTGGACCGCTGTGGTGTGATGTTGGTGGTGTGTGTGGACTGGCAGGGGGGGAGGGGGAGGGCTAAGCATCCGTAGACCCCCCTCTTGTGTTCGGTTTTGGTGTTGTTTGAAGAGGGCTTGGTCAAGCCGCTACAAATGGACGAATACGAAGAGACCATAACGAAAAAAGCTGGTCTTGTCAGTAGTCAGGATGATGGTCGCCGTGTGAACATGGCGTGTAGTGTGAGCAAGATGAAGGTCGTTGCATTGTCACTCTCTCTCACTCACTCTCACACACACACACTCTCACTTTCTCACTCTCACTTTCTCGCTACCCCGTCTTGTTTTTTGTCTTGTTTTGATCTATTTATACGAACTCTCCAGCACCGCGGAAAATCCCCCGACGGCTCTATCGCACGCGATGAACGTGATGTTTCTCCCGCTCTGGGTACCCAAGTCGCTCCTCAAATTTGTGGGGTCGGCGCCGGCCCTCCTCGAGGCTGACATCGAGACTGTCAAGTCGGACGTGAGAAGGGTTAGAAGATAAGACGGAAGCGAGAAAAATATGGAGTGTACTCACGCCGTAGCCGTTAGACCATTGACGTCGTATCCCTACTATGCCCGGACGTAGCGATATGTCGAGATTTCGCGGGCCCAACCTGAGTTTCACGAGGATGAACCAGTCTTAATCCTTTGCGTTTGTTTTGCCAAACCAGACGTGCCATGTTTTACATGGGGGGGTCTGGTATTCACCGTACGTACACGGCAGCGCTTCCAGTCTTCGTTCGTTATCTAGCTGGAACGTTTGCTGCTGCTGTGCAAGTACGGCGAGGGTCGAGCATGTTGTCGTTGTACGGGGCTATTCCTTGACGAACGGTACCCTCTATTGTTCACGCTTAATCCACACCCGGCGTATTTCTGTGCTGTGTTGTGGACGTCGCCCCTATCCGCCCATCTCCGGGTTTCCCATGGATATTGTTTCGCGTATTTTTCTTTGGGTTGTTACATGGGTAAGTGGCACAAAGTTGAAGTACTCCGCGTCCGGTCGAGATGAGACACAACTAAGAGCTAATACTCGAATGGAAGCCCTTTCCGGAATCGGGGTCTTTCATCTCATGTGGAATAGATAGGTTGATTATAACAACACTAAGAAAACAAACGTAGCCATCGAGAATTACTGACAATGAAGTGAGGTCACTCGATCGGTCGTGTTAATGCTACCTGAACGGCACCTGTGCTGGGGATGGAAACGCTATACGTTACCGGGATGGATAAGTCGCCCATTGCGGCACTCTACAAGGGCAACATGAGGGGAAAGGGCAGCGAGGAGGTGAGCGTGGGGGAAAACCAGAAAGAAAATATGCTGCAATATAACATACACATCTGACAGAGTTAGTGAAGGGGCAGAAGAAACACAAGGTGTTCTAGAAGAATGAAATGAAAAGAACCGCAGAGATAGGGAAGGGGGGGG